CGCCCTGCCCGGCTAGCAGCAGCAGCGGCGCCTAACCTTGCCAGCAGCGGCTCATGGGCAGCGCACTCCGACCGCCGTCGTCAAGGGACGTCCGACGGCAGCCGCGCTGCCGGCGTCGCCAGTGCCCGCTGCGGCGGCTGCGGGCCGCCACGCGTTGGGCGTGGAGCAAGAGCAGCGCGAGTTCAACGAGCAATACTCCACTGTGACCAGCACGGCAGGAAACATCAGCACCACTCGCAGCAGCAAAAGAGCCACCAGCAGTGCCGCTGTGAGAAGCGCGACAGAGGCTAGCACCACTACACGCAGCAACACCAGCGCCACCAGCAGCAACAGTGCAAGAACCAGAAGCACCACCAGCAGCAGCACGACCGCACCAGCAGCAGTGCAACAATGTGGCCAGCGCTAGCGCCACTGGTAGCACCTCGGTGACCATCATGACAGCGAGCAGCATCACCACGCGCAGCAGCACCAGCGCGACAATATGTTGCAATGTGACGAACACGACGGGATGCAGCAGCACCACGCGCAGCACTTCTGGCACAAGCAGCACCACCAGCGCGACCAGCACGACAGGAAGCAGCACCACGCGCACCAGCACTAGCGCAAGCAACAGCACCAGCGTGACTGGCACAACGGTAACCAGCAGCTCAAGCGTAATTAGCAGTACCAATGTGACCAGCACGACGGAAAACAGCAGTACTAAGCGCAGAAGCACGAACACCACCCGCAGCACCACGGTGACCAGCAGGACGGGAAGCACGCGCAGCACTACCAACGCCGCCAACAGCCCCACCTGTGACCAGCAGGACGGGAAACAGCAACACTACGCGCACCAACAAAAGCGCAACGAGCCATACCAGTGTGACGAGCATCACCAGAGGCAGCAGCAACACGCGCAGCAGCAGCACCAGCGCGTCCAGCGACACAAGTGTGACCAGCACGATGGGAAGCCGCATCGCCACGAGTAGCACTGCCGCCGCCACCAGCAGCCGCACTGCGACAAACCCGATGGGAAACAGCAGCACTACACGCACCACCACAAGCGCAACGAGGAGTACGAGTGTGAGGAGCATTACCAGAATCAGTACCACTGTGACCAGCACGACGGAAAACAGCAGCACAATGCGCAGCACTGCCAGCGGCATCAGCAGCACCAGTGCGGCTAGGCGCCGAAATGGCCGCGGATGGGGCCGCAATTTCTATGACTTGTCGACCGAGGGGTCTGGGGTCCGAGGGTTGTTGGGAGAGAATAAGGAGGCACGCACGGCGGGGGGCAAAATGGCAGCTGCAGGGGAGAAGGGAGAAGGAAAGGCGGGGAGCAGCGGATCGAAGCGGGAGGGGACGGAACGGGGGAGGAGGAGCGGGGGGGGGAGGGGCGGAAAGTGCGCGATAGGGGGGAGCGAAGGGGCCCCGGCAAGAGATGGAGCGCGCGCGCGACCACGAGGGGAGGTCAGTCACCGTTGGGTGGAGGCGCCTCTCCTCCGCCCCTCTGGCGGCCCGCCCTGGCGGATATCTCCGTGCCTCCGCGGGTGCCGCGGAGGACGGGCCGAGCACCTCTTGCAATCTCTGTCAGGCGACAGCTGGACCCAGGACAGAAGAACATCCTTCAATGAGGGGGCCCAGGGACACACACACACACACTCACACACGCACGCACGCACGCATACACACACACACACACTCACGCACGCACGCACGTACGCACGCACGCACGCACGCACGCACGCACGCACGCACGCACGCACGCACGCACGCACGCACACACACACACACACACACACACACATATACACAAACCCCAGGATTCCCCATACTTCCGAATATTTTCTGGGTTTTCGTCTTCCCCACCACTTCCCATCTTTTCCCATATTTTCTTAAGAATCGACGATGAGTCGTGTCTTCATGTTTTTCCCCCTCCTGATTCAAGAACATGAGGCCCCCTGCCGGCCAAGACACCCCAAACCGCAAGATCACTCGAGGGTGCCATCCCCCAGGATGTACAGTAACATCCACCAAGCACGAATAACATTAGGGTACCTTCCCCGACCAAATCTCTACCTCGTACCTCGGTCCAACCGTGTCGAGAAGAAGACGAGGACGCTTCCCCTCGCGCGCACCCCCGCGGGTGACCTGGGTCGGGCATTTGTAGGGGGCAACAGACGGGGAGGGGGGGGGGGGGGGGAAGAACGGTGCTCCTCTCATGCACCGTCGGGGTCACGGGGACCCCCTTCAGAGCCCCCCTCCTGCGGCACTCCAGCATCCCCCCCGCCGCACATCGTCTCCCCATCACGAGACGCCCGACCAAAAGACTCACCGCCCACCGCGCCCGGCGGGCCCGCACCCCGAGGCTTCTTCTGCACCGCCGCGGAGCGTCCGCCGCACCGCCGCGCTCGCGCAGTCCAGGGGGGCGCCAGGACGCTCACCACTTTCGCTTCTGGCCCTTGTACCGCCCAAGCTGGTACTTCCAAGGCTTCATCGGCTTCGACTTGGGGCCCAGGCCCTGCCAGGGGGCGGGCGGCGAGGACTGCAGCGGCGGCGAGCAGGTGCCAGGGCGAGGGGGGCGAACCCCATGAAGGCGGCGGAGGCCTTTCAGAAGCGCTGTGAAGCTCATCGCCCACACGCCCTGCACCAGCCAAGCGGGGGGGGGCGCGTCTTAGAGGGCGCGCCCATCCACGTCCCCCTCACTCTTGCGTTGCCAAAGAGAACGGTCTGGTGGTCCTGGCCCGGGGTGCTCCCAGCTTGTCGCGCCATGCCGGGGCCTCTGGGGTGCCCTGGAAGCCACTCGCGCCGCCCAGGAAAGGCTGGGGACACCCTGGGCCGGAGGCACTCCTGGCAACACCGGGCGGGCTCGCAAGGCTTGGCGGCGAGCGGCAGTGGCCAGAGCGAGGGGGGCAAGATCAGCCAGCAACGAGTCGGGAAATGCATCTGATAGAGCCGGGGATGTGCGTCCGATCGGGCTGCATCGGCACGAAATCAAAATCGAGTCGGATCGGCTGCACCTGGATACACAACTGCACTGCGCAAACATCGGCCCGCATCGGATCGTCGGAACGTCGGAATCGAAGCGGATGGGGCTGGGCGGAATCGATACCGAAGTGGATCGATCGCATCGAAGATTGACCCTGGCAGGACGGCCTGCTCGGCAGGCACGGGGGGCCTCTCGGAAGCGCCGTGGGCGGCGGACGCTTGCAATGCTGAAGGTATCGATGGTGGTGTGCTGTACCTTGCCAGGGGCTGTGCAATGTTGCGCCGTGCTGGATTGAGATGTGTCGTGCCGAGTTGAATTGACCCGTGCTCTAGAGCCTTGTGGACCAAGTCGTCCTTGGCCTCCGAATCCTGACCGAACTGATCTAGATCTTGACCTCGAGCTGCCTGGCACGCATAGCTACCCCAAAGCTGGTTGCAATCGAAACGTGCGGGGCGCTCAACCAGCTCGAGCTCAAGATCCGATTCAATTCCGAAGTGGGGCGAACCAACAGGGGGCGAACCCGAACCAACGCGAAACACACCGACAATGGACAGACCTAAACGCGGCGAACCAAGACGCGACGAACTGAAACAACACGAACAAAGACAATATGAACCGAGACAAGCCCCGAACCTTGTAAATGCATGTGGTTCCAACCCATGGGCGAAAAGAATCCAAGCATGCACTCTACTGCGACAAGCATTTCGCTCGAAACATTCTCAACAAATCCTGATGCTAGACATCCGCCTGGGCGACCTGGCCACGTGAAAACAAGCTTCTCGCTCGAGATGTTCTCAACATCTCCTCATGCTAGACATCCGCCTGAGCGACCTGGACACGTGAAACCGAGCGTTTCACTCAACGCATCCTCAACACATCCTCATGCTAGACATCAACCTGGGCGACCTGGACACGTGAAAACGAGCGGCTCACTCGAGACGTCCTCCGAACAACTTCATGTTAGTCATCCGCCTGGGCGACCTGGGCACGTGAAAACAAGCTTCTCGCTCAACACATCCTCAACCCATCCTCATGCTAGACATTCGCCTGGGCAAACTGGACACGTGAAAAAAGTGGTTCACTCGAGACATCCTCAACACATCGTCATGTTAGATGTCCGCCTGGGTGGCCTGGGCACGTGAAAACAAGCGTGTCACTCGAGACCTTCTGAACGCATTATCATGCTAGACATCCGCCTGGGCGATCTAGACACGTGAAAACAAGCGTCTCCCGCGAGCCATCCTCACCAAACCCTCATGTTAGACATCCGCCTGGGCGACCTGGACACAACAACACAAGCGTTTCGCTCAACGCATCCTCAGCACATCCTCACGCTCATGCTAGACATCCGCTTGGACGACCTGGACGCGTGAAAACAAGCGTCTCGCTCAAGACATCCTCAACAAGTCATGATGCTAGACACCTGCTTGGGCAATCTGGACGCGTGAAATCGAGCGTCTCGCTCGAGACATCCTCAAGACCTGGGCACGTGAAAACCAGCATTTCAACTGTGACATTATCTGAATGCTGGTCCCCCGGGGAGGAACAATCTATAGCACAACACAAGCGCTTCGCTCGAGACATCTTCGACAAAGTATGCAGACCAAGCGTTTCGCTCATGACATCCACAGCAAACGGACACGCTGAGGTACTTTACCATGTGTGTTGCCGATCTGAGTTTCAACATGATCGACCCACGAACCCAGAAAGGGATACAGAAATGTAACGCATAGCAACGTTTGAAAGACACCTGCTTGGGAGACGGGCAATTGCAATGCTGAGTGTATCGATCTTGATGTCCCGTACCATGGGCTGTGCTGTGCTGCGCCGTGCTGGATCGCGATGTGCCATGCCGCGATTGTGCTCTATAGCGTTGTGGATCGAGTCTTCCTTGGCATTCGGGTCCTGACCGAACTGATCTGGATCTTAAGCTCAAGCTGCCTGAGCACACAGTAGCTGCCCCAGAGCTCGTTCAAGTGGAAACGTGGAGGACGTTCAATCAACTCGACCTCAAAATCCGACTCAGCTCCGAAAAGGAACGACACGACACAGGGCACAAGCTAGGCTCACGGACGCGCCACAGGATGTGCCAGGGGCGCAATACGGGATGCGCCAGGGGACGTGTCAGGGGACGCATCAGGGGACGTGCCCTGAATGTGCCAGGCCAAGGCGCGTGCCATGGGACGGCCAAAGGACGTCATGCCAAGGGACGTTGCAAGGGGCGCGCCACGGAACGGGCAGGGGAAACGCCTGGGGACGAGCCAGGAAACTTGACAGAAGCCAGCCCAAGGAACGTGCCACGCCGAGTGGCGTGCCGGAGGGCGTGCTAGGGCACGACACGCCAGTGGACGCTGCAAGGGACGCGCCAGGGGACACGCCAGGACAAGCGGTTCGCTCGAGACATCCTTTCGCTCGAGACATTCTGTCCAAATCCTAATGTTAGACATCCGCCTGGGCGACCTGGCCACATGAAATCACGCGTCTCGCTCGAGACGTTCTCAACACATCCTCATGCTAGACATCCGCCTGAGCGACCTGGACACGCCAGAACAAGCGGTTCGCTCGAGACATCCTCAACACATCCTCATGCTAGACATCTGCCTGTGCGACCTGGACGCCTTCAAACAAGCGTCTCGCCAGAGACATCCTCGACAAATCCGCATGCTAGACATCTGCCTGGTCAATCTGGACGCGTGAAACCAAGCGTCTCGCTCGAGACATCTTCAAGACTTGGGCACATGAAAACAGGCATTTCGCCTGAGACCTCCTCTGCATTATGGTTCCTAGGAGAGGAACAGTCTATAACACGAAATAAGCGTTTCGCGCGAGATCATCAACAACTTCTGCAAAACAAGCGTTGCGCCCGAGACATCCGCGACAGACGAAAACGTGTACTTTACCATTACCTATCGGAAATTTAAAACCCAACGCTTCGGTCGGGACATCCTCAACACCTGATCGACCCACGAACCGGGAAAGGAAAATAGAGATGTAAGGCGTGGTAACGTTTCAAAAACACCTGATTGGGAGACGGGCAATTGCAATGCTGAGTGTATCGATCTTGATGTACCGTGCCGAGGGCTGTGCTGTGCTGCGCCGTGCTGAATTGCGATGTGTCATGCCGCGATTGTGCTTTATAGCGTTGTGGATCGAGTCCTCCTTTGCATCCAAGTCCTGACCGAACTGATCTGAATCGCAAGCTCGAGCTGCCTGAGCACTCAGTAGCTGCCCCAGAACTAATTGACAGGAGGACATGCTAGAAGGACGCGCCGCGGAACGTCCCAAGGGACGCGCCAGGCGACGTGCCAGGGGACGTGCCATGGGGACGCACCGCGGGACGTGCCAAAGGGACGCGCTACGGAACGTGCCAATGGACGTGCCACGGGACGTGCCAGGAGACGCGCCGCGCGACGTGCCAGGGGGACTCGCCACGGGACGCGCCAGGGAACGTGCCAAAGAGCGTACCAGGTTGCAATGCTGAATGGATTGATCTTGATGTACCGTGCCGAAGGCTGTGCTGTGCTGCGCAGTGCTGAACTGCGATGTGGCATGCCGCGATTGTGCTCTATAGTGTTGTGGATCGAGTCCTCCTTTGCATCCAAGTCCTGACCGAACTGATCTGAATCGCAAGCTCGAGCTGCCTGAGCGCATACTAGATGCCCCAGAACTCATTGACAGGGGAGCATGCCAGGAGGAAGCGCCGCGGAACGTCCCAAGGGACGCGCCAGGCGACGTGCCAGGGGACGTGCCATGGGGACGCACCACGAGACGTGCCAAGGGGACGCGCTGCGGAACGTGCAAATGGACGTGCAACCTCATGCTAGACATCCGCCTGGGCGAACTGAACACGTGAAGACAAGTGGTTCGCTCAAGACATCCTCAACATCTTCATCTTAGACGTCCGTTCCAGGTCCCCAGGAAGGCCCCAGGAGGCCCAAGTTAGATACCCCCTAGGTGGCCTGGGCAGGTTAAAGCACCTGGTCCCGCCATGTTAAATACCTCCCTGGGCAACCTGGACACGTAAAACCACGTGGTGCCAGCTCTGGGCAACCATGTTAGATACACCCCTGGGTGGCCTGGACACGTTAAAACACGCGGTCCTTGCTCGGGACAACTATGTTAGATACCCCTCTGGGTGGCCTGGACACGGTAAAACACATGGTCCTTGCTCGGGACAACCGTGTTATATACACCCCTGGGTGGCCTGGACATGTAAAAACGTGGGTGCCAGATCTGGGCAACCATGTTCGATACACCCATGGGTGGCCTGGACATGTTAAAACACGTGGTCTTTGCTCGTGACAAACATGTTAGATACCGACCTGGATGGCCTGGACACGTAAAAACACGTGGTGCCAACTCCGGACGATCATGTTAGGTACACCCCTGGGTGGCGTGGACACGTAAAAACACATGATTCCAGCTCGGGAGAACCATGTTAGATATCCCCCTGGGTGGCCTGGACATGTAACAACACATGGTTCCAGCTCGGGGGATACTACGAATACGCGCTCCCGCTCGAGACATCCTCG